GTTTGCATGTTTTTGGGATATAGCTCTCACCATCGAGGGTTCCAATGCCTTGACTCAAATGGACGTGTCTTTGTTAGCATGTATGTCAAATTTGATGAGCTTGTATTTCCTTTTGCAAAAAAAAAGTAGGTTGTAGATCGTCGGGGTTCGCTCTCTCTATGGTCAGTAGTACTTGAGGTTATTGCTGAGAGTCGCAAGGTGTGTCCTCAAGTGGTGGTACTGTTGCAGGCTTATACTATCACACCATTATAGGCAATTGCTGTCACGGGTGAAGTTGGTCATGGTTCTAGTTTGGGCGATGAAGTTAGTCTTCCTTCTCTGTTGTCTGTTGTTCCCTCTCTAATTGTTGCTACAATCACCAATGATGCTAATGGTCATGAAGTAAATCAGCATATTGTTGAAGAAGTTAGTGATAATAATAATAATTTACCTGTTGTTAGTACTCATCCCATGATTACTATAACTAAGCATGACATCTTCAAGCCAAGGATATTTCTTGCTGAGTTAGATACTGCAATACCTGCTGATGTTCATCAGGCCATGCAGTCTAGTAACTAGGTAGTTGTTGTTCAGGATGAATTAACTGCTCTATAATGAAACGGTACATGGTCATTGGTACTGTTGCTAGCTGGACTAATAACAGTTGGTTACAAATGGCTATTCAAGTTGAAGCAAAATCTCGATGGCACGGTTCATCGTTACAAAGCACGTCTTGTTGCCAAGGGTTTTTCACAAGTGCCCGATTAAGATTTCAAAAAAACTTTTAGCCCAGTGGTCAAGTTTCAGACCTTGAATTTTGTTTTATCCCTTGTTGTAATAAACAAATGGTCTCTGTGGCATGTGGATGTTAACAACATCTTCCTACATGGTGATTTGAGAGGACGTTTTCATGCAGCAACCACCTGGGTTTGAACAATTTGCTACGGATGGCAACAAGCTCGTCTATAAGCTTCACAAGCTCTTTATGGGATGCGTCAAGCGCCTAGGAATTGGCATACCAAGCTGACGGATAGGTCATGCAAATGGGGTTTCGTGCATCGAAGGCTGATGCATCACTCTTTATTTCTCATGCTCACGGGGAGTATACATATGTTCTTGTCTATGTAGATGACATTGTTGTTACAGGGCAGTTGGTTGTTGAAATTGAACTAATGATTCATTTGCTTCATGATTATTTCTCGTTGAAGGATCTTGATGATATGCACTATTGTTTTTGGAATTGAGGTTCAATGTTGTGATGAATCTTTAGTCTTAACTCAGAATAAATTTGTTTTAGAGATGTTAGAGAATACTGACATGTCGAATGCTCGAGAATTTTGAATCATGGTTGGAGCATTGTTGTATGTCTGTCATATGAGACCATATATTGTCTACAGTGTGAGTAAGATAGCTCAATTTATGAGTGAGCCACGTGAGTGTCACTTGTTGGCTGCCAAACGTATCTTGCGATACCTGGCTGGAACAATGGAGTATGGATTGGTTTTTTCACCATCTAAGGCGGCACTACGTATGGTGGCATTTACTGATGTTGATTTGGGTGGATGTGTTGATGATCGAAGGTTTATGTCAGGCCATTGTGTGTTGGTTGGTGATAACATGGTGTCGTAGAACGCAAAGAAGCAGAAGGTTGTCTCGAGGTCCACCATGAAAGCAAAATACCGTAGCTTAGCTGATGTTGCAGCAGAAGTTGCTTGGGTTTATACGCTTCTGACCGTTCTTGGAGTGGTTCGACATGAGAAACCCATCAACTGGTATGACAATACCAGTGCGATTGCATTGAGTGCAAATCCAATTCATCATGCTCAATCCAAGCATGCAGACTTAGATGTTCATTTTGTGAGGGGAAAAATTGCTGGAAATCAGTTATGTGTTAGCTATGTCCCTGCTGCTCATTAACTTACAGATGGCTAACAAAACCATTGTCCAAAGCAGCTTTTACAACGTTTTGTGAGAGAGTGAACGTTTGTTTGCTGAAGAAAGGAGAAGAAGAAGAAGTAGAGAGAATGTTGGAAGATAAAGTGCATAGCGTGTGCTAAGGCTCACGTTCCCTAGTGTGTGTTGTGTTGTAGGTGAGTTAAGCCTAGGGTTGTTAGGCTGTTAGATGTAACAGTTTCAGTAACAATTTCAGCACTTGAGTGTTATAAAAGGAATATATTGCAACTTTATCAATTAGAGAAAACAAATAATAATTTTTCAGTTTTCTTAAATTCTTAATACGACAAAAGCAATAAGTGGTGATGGTTGATTAACAATATAAATTCGACAGAAAAATATAAATTTCTACTTGATAATATTAAACATGATATAATTATAATAGATGTATGATTAAAATAAATTAAACTAAGAAATAAGAAGGCTTTGCAATTTATATGATATAAATAGTTATCTATCAAAACTTATATAAAATATTTTAAATATACTAACTATAGAATGGTTACTTAATATATTATCATAATAGAATTCTTCAAATTCACAGACGAGTTAAAAAGTTACCATATATTTTTAATTGACATTCTAAAAAAATAAAAATTAAATGAATGAAACACAAAATAAAATCTAAAACGAGTATGTATAGAGTACACAGATTCTCAAATTTATTGCCTTCAAAACAAAAGGAGAATATATATACATACTCATATTTTGATGGTGAAAAAAATATCAAAAACGAGGTTTTAATGCTATCACGTGCCTTTTTTAAGGTTTATGATTTAAAGTTTTAGTGTTAATATTTAATGTTAAGTTTTAGGGTTTAGGGGTTATATTTTAAGATTTAATGTTTAAGGTGCATAAGTAGGACACGTGTAGGGTTAGAAACCCATACAATGGATGTATAAAACAAATATTCTACAAGAGATGTTATAATGCTTCCATGCGAATTATTTTGAAGGTTTTGGATTTAGAATTTTTTATGTTTAGAATTTAAGGGTTAAGTTGTAAGATTTAGGGTTTAAAATCTCTAAATAATGCACATGGCAAAATTAGAATCTCACTTGTGGAATATTTTGTTTCAACTTTGTATTCATAATTCTAGTAAGATTATTATCCCATGCACAAATGGTGGAAAAACATTCCACAAGTAAGGTTCTAAGGTTCGTATGTCTTATTTAAGATTTTAGGGGGGGGGTTAGATTTTAAATAGATTTAGGTTTTCTTTATGTAAAAATAATAATAATTTTAAGTTTGTTAAAGTAAAAATTTCAACAAAAAAAATAATATTAACACGACACATGTTGTGCTTTGAGAGATTAACGAATTTTTTAACGGTCGTGACATACCATACACTTAAAATGATAACGAAAAAAATATTAAACATCAAAAGTGAATAAAGAATTAACCACATAAATAGTCACGGAACATAGAAAGATTATAAACCCACTTATTATTTTATAACAAATCAGTCACTGAATTGTTAAAAGTTAATACTCTAGTAACGTAAGGTTAATATGACTAATTAAACACTTAAATTGACTTACTTGACATTGTTTGACCAAAGACAAAAATGTCATTTTCCTTTGAATTCATTGAAATGGTTGATTCATTTTCCGAAAGAGACTTTATCACCAAAAGGCAGTTGCTCTCCACCTCCACACCTCCACGCAACCAATGAATAGCATAAAGCACAACCTTAGACTCCATAAAAACAACATCAACATGAACAATTGTAGCAAATCCACCCTCCAAGTCTTGGCTACAACAAACCTGGCATCATCACCACGCAACACAGCAACAAAACTGACCCTGTCACCAACTGCACTTATCGCAGCTGGTGGCAACATGTGATTGGTGTATGAATTATTGAACGAGTTTTGTGCTCATTAGATCATATATTAGAAATTATGTAAGGACAGCAAAGTCCAAGCACATGTTGCTAAATTGTGGCACCAACTTTGTATCTTGAGGGACAATAAAGTATGGATATTGTCAACTTTTTTTTTTTAATTTTTTTCACCAGCTTTAGGTTATGGGGTGATATTAATGAACAACTCTTCTTTTTGTAGAAGAAGAAATAGCTTATGACTACACCAACGACAGATGGGGCCTTTGTACAATGGCACAACCTGAGGTGCAATCAAGGACAGTAAAAATTTCATCTCCCGATACCCGACTCAGGTTACCTTTACTGGAGATGGCAACTTACCGAGCCAATGCAGGCTTCCCAGGTTTAATCCCAACAATTTCTTCCACCTCTTTAGTAACAAGCATATAGCTTTCATCGGTGATTCCATGGCTTGGAACCAATTGGAATCACTAGGTCTGTTATAAATGTGACATGTAACACGTCACAGGGTCCCAAAATTTAGGAGTCCCATATATGAATGTCATTCTCATTCAAGCTCGTTCATATACAACGGTGCTAAGTAAGCCAACCTAACCTAAATCCTAACGTTCCATATCAATCTTTTGTTATTAAGGTAACAAGTGTCAACGGTCAAGTGACCAATTTACTATAAAACAAAGACGTTAGTGATTTTTTTATTACTTTCAAATATTAGTGAGAAAAAAATTTACTCTTATTACTTTCAAATATTAGTGAGAAAAAGAAAAATTTACTCATATTGTAGTGATCATTTGTATAGTTTACCCTTAAATAAGATAGCATAATAAAATTGAATAGATGAAATATAAAACAAGAAAAATATAAGAATGATAATGATAGAATACAAGTAATAATTGTCCGATTAAAGATAGACAATATTATCATTTTAACAAATAAAAAACTAAAAATAACCATAACCGTCTATCTATTAGAATCAATATGACTTTTTATTTTCAAAGGGTTGGTATGAGTTAGATGAAAGCCAACCCAAAACTATATATATTCAAAGTAAATATATCAAAGAACAAGGTAGCCTAAAATCTAGTTAAAACAACTGTAAATCGTTAACATTACTAATAAAACAAAGAAAAATGTTTCTGACTTTATATTTGAAGCATGACGATGACATCACAACCAATTCTCTTACGTTCCCTTCATTAATACAATAATCTTAGCGATCGTTATGGCTGGACCACCGCCGCCGCCGCCACCTTTTTCCTTTGGGAATGGGACATTCGAAGTTTGCATGGCTTTACCACCCAAGATCAATTCCGTCGGCATCTGGGAAAATCAGACTTCTCCTTCAGTGATTCTCACATATTCATTACCGCTTCTAGAGTTACAGATGCTCTTGATATTCACGGTCACTCATCTCGTGTATGGCATCCTCAAGCCTCTTGGAATCACCCTCTTTGCCTCACAGATGTTTGTATGTTAAATAATTACCTACAGTTTTATTTTATTTTTCTTTCTCTTTTATATATATCTTGATTTTTCTCACATAGGAAGCAAGCAAAAGCCTACCTCGATTTATGGCTGATATCTTCCGTTTAACTTTTTTTTACTAGGCTGGCATGATCATGGGGCCTGCAGTGCTGGGGAAAATAGAAAGTTTTCGAGACATATTTATTCGAAATGAATTAGTATTACAAGTCATTGATACTACAGCAGGGTTTGGTTTCTGTATATTTTCGTTTCTGATGGGAGTGAAAATGGACGCGAGGTTGGCATTAAAGACAACAAGGAGAGCCGTAGTGATTGGCATTGTATCCCTTTTATGTCCTCTTTTGGTTAGTATAATTGTTCAAGAGATCTACAAAACGCCTAATCAAAGTGAAAGAATAACAATAGAATATTTGGTGGGGGTAGTCACTCAATCCGTGACACATTTTTCTGTCGTCGCATGGCTTCTCGGCGAGCTCAATATCCTAAATTCAGAGTTGGGACGACTGGCCCTATCAGCGGCGGCCGTAAGTGACTTGAGCAACATATTTCTATATAAATGCTTTACTTTGGCAGGATATTGGAAAATGTCACCATCATTGGCTGTGGGGTGGGCAGGAGCAACGATTTTTTACTTATTTCTTCTTTTTTGTGTGTTTCGTCCATGGATGTTTTGGGTAATTAGAACAACACCAGAAGGTAGGCCAGTTAAGGGAGTGTACGTTGTGATCATCATGATGTTAGCTTTTGCATATGGCGTGTTTACCCATTGGCTTGATCGTAGTCCTTTACTCGGGGCTTTTCTCGTTGGTTTAGCTGTCCCCGACGGACCGCCACTAGGATCTACCATGGTAGAAAAGTTCGATGGTTTAGCCAACGGTGTCTTTTTAGTAATCTACGTAACTACATCTACAATGAGAGTTAATCCAACGAAGATGTTGGCTGATCTGTCTAGAGTCAGATTTACTTGCATTTTGGTTATTGCCACATTTCTTGCCAAATTCATATCATGTTTGATAGCGTCATGTTGGAGTAGGATTCCGATAAGGGACTCCTTGGCATTTTCTCTCATTATGAGCAGCAAAGGCATCGTGGAACTCTCATATTTCTCCAGTTACAAAGATAGTGAGGTAATCAGAATCAACAGAATTCATGTGTCTCTATTCGTTATTTTTCTTAACAAAACACTAATCTTCCTTTTATTGGTTCCCCAGGTTTTATCGGATGAAACTTTTAGTATGTTGACCCTTGTTGTTCTAGTAAATGCGACTATAATCCCAATCCTGGTGAAGTACCTTTACGACCCGGTTTCAAGAAAATACGCAAGCTATCAACAAAGAAACATAATGCACTTAAAACCTAACTCTGAGCTACGGATTCTTGCATGTGTTCATCGACCTGAACATGTCTCGGCCCTGGTCGATGTGCTAAATATTACATACCCTACGAAAGAGAGTCCTAACGTTGTTTACGCCCTTCACCTGATCGAACTAGTCGGTCGTGACTCTCCGGTCTTCATAGCTCACCAAAAGCATAAAAATCTAGTTGTCAATTCCTACCACCACATTGTTGCTTTCAATCAATATGAGAAAAACAATTGGGAAACAGTCACAGTGAACGCATTCACAGCAATCTCTCCGAGTAAACTGATGCATGAAGACGTCTGCACTCTAGCCCTGGACAAAGAAGTATCCTTCATACTTCTTCCATTTCATAGAAAATGGTCTGTTGACGGATCTATTGAAGATGACAACAATGTGATAAGGAACATGAACTGCAACGTCCTAGACCGAGCCCCTTGCTCGACGGGGATCCTCGTGGACAGGAGGAGGAAACTATTTATGTCATCGACCTCAACTTACTCCGTCGGAATGATCTTCTTAGGTGGTAAAGATGATAGAGAAGCTTTAACATTAGCCAAACGAATTGCCCGTGACCCTAAAGTTAAGTTAACTGTGATCCATCTCATTGCTGATGAAGACAGCGGGAATTTCATTGACTGGGACGGGATGCTGGATGCTGAGGTATTGAAAGATATTAAGCAAAATGACAATAGTCATGGTTGCGACGTAAAGTATATAGTTCTAGTTTCGAAACATGGGCAACAAGCATCGAGGATCGTTCAATCAATTGTGGGTGACTATGACTTGATTATTGTAGGTAGACGTTACGGGGCGGATTCCGTCCAAACAATGGGTCTGTCAGACTGGAGTGAATTTCCTGAGCTAGGGGTCATCGGAGACCTTCTTGTATCCCCAGATTTAAATTGTAGGATATCCGTACTAGTTGTGCAACAACAGGATTTTATAGACAGTTAAAAGAATGTTGCGTCTACGGGTGAAGTTGACCGTGATCCATTTCATTATTGATGAAGTCCATGTTAATGACATGAACTGAGACATGATTCTGGATGTTGGAATATTGAGAGATACCAAGCACAATGGATTTAGTAATGTTTGCAATATGATGTATGTAAAATAAGTTTTGAACAACGGGATGCAAGCCGTGTGTTTCGTTTGATCGATTGCAGATGGCTATTACTTGATCATTATCGGTAGACGCCACAAGGTGGATTCAATACAAATGATGGGCTTATCAGACTGGAGTGATTTTCCCGAGCTAGGGATCATTGGAGACCTTCTTGCATCCACAAATTTACATATCATGGCATCTCTTCTAGTTGTGCAGCAACAAAATTATTTAGATCAGATTATGTCACATTCAAATATATTAAAAATTTTATTCATTATAGGTGTAATGAGGCGATTTTTTTCAAATTTTTTAATTATGAGTTTGAATTTTCTTATAAATATTTATTTTTATTGTTTTGTTCAAAGAATTTAGAATAATGTGCCTCGAATGAGACCAATTGCACATATGCAAAATAAAATGTTTAACATGATTTGAAATATCGAATTTACACAAAAATTGATACAATAGACATTATATTTAATTCGAGTAAAAATAGGTCTAAATCAATCAAGCCCAACTTCACTCAACACCAAGCCAACTCTCATGCTCTCTAAAGGCCCAAATTCATCTTTTTCTCTCCTTAGCATGTGTACCCATGCTCCTCATGCCTCTCTCAACATTAAACTTCACCTACAACCTCCTCACCAAACACACTAATGAAACTCTTTCTATATTCACCACCTAACCCAAACGCACCCTTGACCACACATTCTCTTTTTACCCAAAATTCAGTCAGACACCAACTCTCCACCCATCAACCAAAACTAAACTTGAACATAACCTGCAAAAGAAAAAGGAGAGAAGTAAAAAATGTTTAAAAAAAATGATAGATCGAAAAGGAAAAGAAATCCACAAAAAAGAAGAGAAATAACGAAGATATTTATCTTTTTAATCAAAATTATTTATGATGATCAAACCATTTTCAAAAATTGTTGATGGGAACGAGAGGGTTGCATTGGTCGCGGCGATTCACACTTTCTGGTTTGGATAGAGAGTCACTATCGAAGCAAAGATAGTTGTTAGTCTATGATTCTTTATTAGAGTGAGAATAAAAAAAGTAGCGTATGGGAGAAGATCAATAGTACATATGAAAAAGCTGGAAAAGAGATAAAAAAAACTCATTCTTTCATCCTTCCTTCGGGGTATAAATACACTAACTACATGTCTGGTGTCAAGACTATGGTCACAACGTCTGCTAATAGGCTGGAAGATTATGCATGCATGGTTGTTTATATATTAGATTTCGCTATCAAATGTCTCCTCAAAGATTGGGGGTATGAACTTTGAAGAGCGATCCCAAATGATGGTTCAAGAGATTGTATGATGCTTTCTGGGAATTTTTAGTGGCTCTTCTCAGATGATGGAGGGTTGCATTGGTCGCTGGCGATTCACACTTTCTGGTTTGGATAGAGAGTCACTATCGAAGCAAAGATAGTTGTTAGTCGATGATTCTTTATTAGAGTGAGAATAAAAAAAGTAGCGTATGAGAGAAGATCAATAGTACATATGAAAAAGCTGGAAAAGAGAGAAAAAGACTCATTCTTTCATCCTTCCTTCGGGGTATAAATACACTGACTACATGTCTGGTGTCAAGACTATGGTCACAATGTCTGCTAATAGGTTGGAAGACTATGCATGCATGGTTGTTTATATATTAGATTTCGCTATATCAAATGTCTCCTCAAAGATTGGGGGTATGAACTTTGAAGAGCGATCCCAACGGATGATGGTTCAAGAGATTGTATGATGCTTCCTGGGAATTTTTAGTGGCTCTTCTCAGATGATGGAGTCTTCAGGGGTCTTTATTGACGGAGATTTAGTAGTTTTCAGAGGGTCTTCTCTCAAGGTATAACATCGTATCTACCCTTAGTCAGGGGAATATATTATAGTGGTATGACTCGAGACTTTCATTTGAAGATGTATTCCTCTTTAATTGGCTCTCTTTTGGGGGGACATCATAATATTTTTTCTTGAATGTCTACGGCAAACTACACAAGTGTTGACTTGTAATTGGAGTGGCCAGGATGCGCGATATTTAAACCATTTGAGGGTGATGTATCCCTTCATTATTTAAAGGGTTTTTTAGGGATAGGGTTCTTAGATCCTTAACTTCTCTTTCTTTTGAAGTTTTACTTTTATTTTAAATTTTTTGGTTGGAATGGAGAAGACTTAAACAACGTCTACAGTAGAAGGCGAGTCCTTCACCTACAAGCAAGGATGGTTGAAATGAGGCCATAAATCTTTTAATAAGTTAAAGTTTATTGTGTGAAAATTATAAATTTGAATTTAAGATTCCCTCGGGGTCATGCTGTGTGATTGGTTACAGTAAAGTCTCTAGTCACGATCAAGAGTGGTTCTATCTTCTTCTTTTCACTCTAGAGGTGGGGAATCATCCCCTACTGTATATTTTTATGAAGGATATTATAAATGACTGTAGGGTTTCTATACGTCAGTTGGCCAAAGTCTCTTGGGATCTTTATTGGCTACTTTATTTATTATCGGTGGAAGGAATAGACACTCATTTTCATCTTGTACTTAATTTAAATGTAAATTTCTTTTTATCTTTCTTATTTTCATTTTTATTTTACTATTATAAGTATTATTATCATTATTATGGTTATTTTTTATTAATTACTATTATCATTCTTATGTGTGTGTATATATATAGATAGAGATTATGTGAAAAATGAACGGGCTTTATTAACACTAATATTTTTTATTATAGACCTATATGTAAAGTTTGATTACAAGCTCAAATCACTGCAAGAAAATAAGGCCCATAACATTAACAAAGTCGGGAACTTTAGGTGGTGTTTGGTTCGCTATAATGTTTCTGAGGAAATTGGAATATGTGAATGAATTGAAATCTGTCAGGAATTGGAATCCAATTTCATATTTTGTTTGGTTCGCATACATGTCAGATGAATTATATTTCAGTAATGTAAAATGACAGAATTGTCCTTTTTTTTTGCTTAATTTTAGTTTGTTTTATAAATTTACATGTAGCAATATATTATAAAAAAATTTAAAAAATAAATTTTAATTTTATTGATTGATTATTAATTTCAATAAATTATAAAAATCATGCTAATAAACATTATAAGTTAAAATCATCCCAATTAGGAATGGTCATGGGTTGGGTTGGGTCGGGTTTTTGGTCCACCCGACCCGACCCGAGAACAAGGGAACCTCCATCCGAGACCCGACCCGACCAAAATAAAGTTTCACCGACTCGACCCGAACATATGAATTAAAAACCCGACCCGACCCGAAATAAAAAAATTATTTTTATTCAATAAAAACAGTGACTTAATTGAAAAAAATATAGAGGGGTATGATTGTAATTATTCCTAAATATATAAGGTAATATTATATATTTTTTGGGTCGGGTCGGGTATTTTTCACCCTAAACTCGAACTCGACCCGAATATCACACTTAAAAAAAACTGACCCGACCCGACCAAAATAAAATTTCACCTGACCCGACCCGAATATATGAATTAGAAATCCGACCCGACCCGAAATAATAAAAAAATTATTTTTATTCAATAAAAACAATGACTTGATTGAAAAAAATTATATATAGAGGGGTATTAATGTAATTATTCTTAAATATATAAGGTAAAATTATATATATTTTCGGGTCGGATATTTTTCACCCTAAACTCGAACTCGACCCGAATATCACACTTAAAAAAATCGACCCGACCAGACCAAAATAAAGTTTCACCCGACCCGAAATAATAAAAAAAATATTTTTATTCAACAAAAACAGTGACTTAATTGAAAAAAATTATATATAGAGGGGTATTCTTGTAATTATTCTTAAATATATAAGGTAAAATTATATATATTTTCGATTCGAGTTTTTTTCACCCTAAACCCAAACTCGACCCGACCCAAATATCACACTTAAAAAAACCGACCTAACCCGAAATTAGATTCTAATTCTAAAGTATTCATACGAACCAAAAGCCACGGTTTTACTAAAGTTCCAGCCGTCGCCGCTTCAAGAGATGATCTCCTACAGCTAGACGTATGCAACACACGTCATGACAAAATGTAAATAGGTTTGTCAAACAGATCGAGTCCAATCTGATCTGATCAATAGTCCAGTTCAATTTTAAATGAGGCCTAACTTTGACTGACCAATGGCCCAAGACTAGTTGAGTCACCAACGGGATGGATGGCTAATAAGTTGTTGGGCTATGGGCTACTAAATTGGGCCTTATCTAAGTGGACTTGGATTTAAGGCAACATAAGGTAATCAATCACGGCATCACCGGAGACGGTTGCCCAGACGACGCATTGGCACGTGGAAGCCCACAGCAACACTCTTCGATCGAAAACAGAAGATAAAATGATAAACATAATTAGCCGTCATTACCATAACTAAACTCGATTGATTCAATAGAAAAGCACAATAGACTTTTAAAATCGAGATTGCCTTTGGCGTTACATGACAATGACCGACGACAAAAGATATCAATGTTAGGGTTTTAATCGAGGGGACAAAGGGAATCTAATAATGATAAAGGTACTCTACAACAACCAAAACCGACGACAACAATTAGCAAAAATAACAAACGAGACAAAAAAATGTAGAGAAACGACATGAAGGTGTCAAAATGAAAGATCAAAATTAAATTTAGAATTTATACCCAAGATAATGGGTAAATTATAACACATACCCCTAGACTGTTTGTGTCTCACACTCTATCATTATAAGTTTGTTCTTCATTTATTTTGGTCCCTATTATTCTTGAATTGATTTCTTAGAACTTATCTAAATTAATCCCGAATTAACATTGCTCTTGTACAATTGAGACTAAAAATTTACATTTAT